TTCCCTCACCCCCAACCGGCCGAGGCAGATGGCCCCCCACCCTGAGCAATGGTTGTGCTCGAGGTTTCTGCCTTTTAAAAGTAAGTTTTTTCCTTCCTTTGTCGCCTAGTGCTGCTCTTGGTGGGAATTGTTGGGCTTTTGTAATTAACTTCAGAGTAGGGTCTGAACTGTTCTGTTTGGAAAGCTGGGAGATGAGTGTTGTTGTGATGTGGCGCTAAAGAAATGAAGTTGAATGGAATTGTTTTTCGTTTGACTGAAAACACGATCAGTCAGATTTCTCTGAACTGCAGTTGGAGAGTCAAATGTATTCACTGCTTTCTATCCTTTAAAGGGATTACAGCAGTTTACACTTGTGCAACCTCCAAAGAGTCATGACACAGGATGCGTACGGTTTCAGGCTGAGCTGAGGAACTTGATGTTCTGGTTTTATCTACGACTTTAACAGAAGAACTCTGACAGCAGAGCAGTTTATTGAGAAATACTAACCTTACAATTCTCTGGAAAAGGAATAAAGAAAAGACTAAAGCAACTGAAGATAGAAATATGCGCTCTGTCCGTCTGCCTGAGGGTCAAAGTTGGATCGGTGAGTCTGCTGCAGTTACTGAGCAGCTGACAAACATTCAGACCTGCTGCAGTAAAAACCGGGGGTTTAAAGTTAAGTAGGTTTGACCAGCATTCACTACATTTACAGTATTTATTTGATAAAGGTCCTGACAGTTTAGAATAAACAGAAATACACTAACAGATCAGGACTAAATTGCTAAAGGACTGTGAAAACTAAAGGGATTCTAAAGAAATTTGGTCAGCCGGACGGTGGTCACAGGGGCTGAAAGCCAAGACAAAGACCTACAAAACGATGTATGACACGCTTAGGTCGAAACGGTGGCGACGAAGCAGGTCCGAGAAAGTAACCAAACAGCACATTGGGGAGGCAGAAATGTATGAGTTGTCCTCCCCCTTATGTCCCTCCCTCACCCCCACTCTCCACTTCTAATGTGGGCTGCTCAAATCGGCTGAGTGAGAGAGTGGTTTTGTTGGAGGGGGGGTCCCTGTGTCTCCTTTGTCATGTTTTCTATGGAAACCAGTGACCACAGATAGTTGTGTTTCTGTATGAGCCTGAGCCTCATTTGGGCGGTAGGCGCCTCAGGACTCTTTCCAGCTGTGCACTCAGATGTGTGGGAGACATTGTGCACGCTTAGTGCGCCTTTACAGTCAGCCTGACTGGAGGAGTACTGAGAGCTGTGTATCAGCAAAGCATTCTGGGGCTTGGAGTGCTCCAGCTTCCTCTCAGCCTACAAGAGTGAGCAGGCAGAGCCATTCTGTCTCAGTCAGTGACTCAGAGCACAGG